GGCTATATATACGTAGCATTTGATATTTAATCTATTTATTTTCAATTTGATTAGATTAGAACCTATTAATCTAAAAATTGTAGCCAATCAATGACTTTGAATTAAAAATGATTTGATGAATTTTTATATTTTTACTAGCTGACCCGGCAGACGTTATTTGGTCATATAAATTATTTCAAGTTTCTAGATAAATTCTAGTGTAGACAAAAAATAACTGCGTGAAATAGGCATGGAGCGTTATGTACGATAAGGGAATATAAAAATAACAAACAACATTAATTTTTTAATACTATGGAGTGAACAATATTTTTTGTTAGCGCATCTTTAGCGAGCACAAACAAATTGGATGGTTTACCCACTCGAGAACATGCTACATAGAATTGTCCGTGCGAAAAACATGGTGTGCTCAAATTTAAGCCACAAATAGGCATCGTTTGTCCTTGGTATTTGTTAATTGTCATTGCAAATGCCAATCTAATGGGAAACTGAATTTGTTTGAATTGAATTGGCACATCTGTAGGTATAATTGGAATCCGTGGTATTAATGTATTTACATCTTTGAACTTGCCATTTAAGATGCTGGTTTCGATAACGTTTTTAATTGATTTTTGAAGTACTAATCGCGTACCGTTGGAAAACCGTGGCGGGTTTAAATTACGAAGCAAAATAATTGGAGATCCAACTTTCAATTGTAAATTATGTGGCATGTCTAGCAAATCCAGTGAGTTCAAAAATTCTGTGGGAAAATTGACAACATCGCTGGCATCGCAAACTGTATCAATAGATTTATATGATACCAAGTTCCCTGGCAACAACTGTTGTATATTCAAACTTAAATTGTCAATGTCTGCATTATTTGTTGCTAAAATAGCTCTTTCTGCAAGCCACTCATGATTTATGTACTGTGTGGCTCTAAATACAGTCATATCACTTTATGCTTTTATGGACATACTTTAAAATATATTTGATGCTCTCCACAGAACTGCAAAACTCAACATTAATATGAGCATTGTATGTCTTGCTTAGCAGAAGCGAATACGGCACCACCCAATGATTGTCAATGTCAATGTCTACGTTGCTGATATTTTTAATAAATGATTGTCCGCCATAATCGGAATTTCTTCGACGATATATTGGATATCCGTCGGTATTTGTTATCGTATCATTAGTGAAACCTTTATGAAAATTTTTAGAACATTTTCCGCATGGACCATGGATCATGTATGCTGTAACAATATCAAACAGCACTTGGTCAGTAGACGGATCTGGAATTTCCGCAGAAATGATACTATCAATTGCTTCAAGACGGGATTTTGTCGAATACAACACATTACAATGACTTCAATTGATGTAATATATTAACTTCATTAAACAACTTTTTACACATAATTAACATTTACATACGATTAAAGTTCACACGAGTACAATAAAACAAAAATAAAGTGCTAGTAATAAATTTTTAACAACAAATGATAATTAATCTGTGATAACGGGAATACAATATAATTCAGATCAAATATATCTTATTTGTCTTATTTGCTTATTAATAGTAAATAATCTCTAAGTATTGACAAATTCTGAGAACACTTCACTAGCCTTATCTTATCTACCATAAAGTATAAACACGTACTTGAACACGTGCAATGTTTCTTCCGGCGTGAATACATTATTTTATATTATTATCATATATTTTTAATTCGTTTATAGTCGTGTGGAAAAGTTATAAGTAATACGATACATTTTCTTCTTCTAATATATAAAATTCACAGTCGCAGTCACAGTGATAGCTACCGCATTCCTCCGAAACGGCTATACCGATTTTTACCAAATTTTATATGCGTATTCAGTTGGTCTGAGGCTACTATCTATTTTTCATACTCCTAAGTATACATACACCATACCCCCATTATTTTTGTTAAATTTTTGGATGAAATAGTTTGTTTTTATTTTTTATAATGTGGCATTAAAAATACATACATCCCTAAATTTTTACTTTTTTATCACCAACCCCTATTTTTTTGTAGCCATTTTAGTAATTTAATCATTTTTCAACCCGCTCGAAGGAATGAGAAGGAATGAGACTCACTGCCTACACAGTTTTCGGCCATCATTATTATTAAGACTTGGTGTATGTGCGCAACAGACTAATATATTTCCAATACTTTTACATTACATTTCTTGGTTAGTTCCAATCTTCCTCACTATGGCGCTAGTAGTAGCATGTTAAGCAGAGATATAACACAGTATTAATTTTGATATATTACTACAATTTACTAACAATTATGGTACGAGTATATGTATCAAGTGTAGTAGCAACGTTTACAATTATCATATTGCTATCTCCGTGTAACTCATATTAACTATTAATTATTACTATTTTATTCAGTTAATCAAGTTTTACATACTGACACACTTATAATAAGTAAGTAACTTTTTGTCTACGCTAGAATTTATCTAGAAAATAGAAATAATATATATGACAAAACAACGTTTGCCGGGTTAACTAATTTTATATATACTTTGGTAATTTATTTATTTTATTTTGCTTTCTTTTATTTTTGATACAAATATTAATGTTACTTTTTTGTATAAACATACTCGTACTAGCTGACCCGGCAAACTTTGTTCCGCCTCGCTTTGCTCTTGTGATTGAGAAGCACAAAGTCGAGTCACACTAACACGGCGCTTTTCACGTGCAATTTTTTGTTCTTCTTCAGTCCTTTCATTCGCTATCCTTCGAATCCTAGTTGCATTACGGTTTTGTCGGGTAAGATTTTTTCGTTTTGGTCGCTGTATGTTGAGTGGGGAAGCTACGAAGCATCGTACAAAGAAGAGACGGAGAAAACTCGTTTAGTATCTTCCAAAGAAGTTTTCACTTTAAAAAGTATTAAAAAAGTATCCTACTCTTACTAAGTCTTATTCAAACAAACACATCAACCGCAGACGCAGATAATAGAAACCATTATATTTGTGTGCTCTTTTTCCCCCGTAGGCTAAACCATATAAGCGAATATGTTTATTTCCTTTTAGTGTCGTTTAGTGTCCCCTAAAGAAGTTTTCACTTCAAAAAGTATCCTAGTAACCTTCTCCAAACAAAAACATCAACCGGTCAACTTCAACCCACACGTACACACATACACACGTCTACGCTTAGGGGGGAAGCTACAAAGCATCGTACAAAGAGGAGACGGGGATAATAGAAAACTTTGTATTTGCGTTCTCTTATTCTCCCGCAGGATAATCCATATAAGCGAATATGTTGATCTCTTTTTAGTGTCGTTTAGTGCCTAGAAAAGTTTTCACTTCAAAAAGGATCCTATTACCTTCTCCTCCACCTGTCCACCTCTCCACCAATTTTTAGCTAAATTGGATTAGCCGTTCATTAGTTATCAGAATGGTGACTAAGTCGACTTTCTTTTATATATATAGATTGAGATTTTTTGAATGCCTACGTTGCTACCATATTGAGTCATAGTACAAATTGTTTTTAAATATAGCATTATGGTGAAAATAAGTTGATATTAAATTTTTATTTTTGGATTAAAACACTACAACTCAAATCGAAGTAAAATATGATTAGTCTTTGGCTGTTATAGCTATGTGTATATTAGGTAGTTTGTTGCGTTTTGTTTTTGCTTTTGTTAAAACGTGGAAAACAAAAACAAATAACTTACATAAAATAATACAAATTGTACACAATTAGATCTTATTTTTTATTAGTTAACTAGCTGACCCGGCAAACTTTGTTCCGCCTCGCTTTGCTCTTGTGATCGAGAAGAACTAAATCGAGCCATACTTTCGTGCATACTATTATATATGTATACGTCAAACTTGAATACAAACAAGGACGCCATCTAGACGTAAGAAGACGAATCAGCATAATGGAGGTGCAGTTTTGCATCGATGTAGTCTGGGTGCGTGTCTAGAGTAAGAGCGACTGGCGCAGTATTCGATGGTATCGAGGGAAAGGAGAAGCATGGGTGAAGGGACTCACTTCGAGGGCACCGTTGAGCACGCACCCAGAATTCATCCCGTTACGCCGATTCAATTCGATTTTGTTTAATCTAATACTTTGTAATAAATGGCGCGTAATTTGAATTGGAGTGTTGTTGATGTAGTTGAGGAGGAGGTTTATACGACACACATACTACTCACACTACGCAAAACATATTTTACAACACAACCCCAAACACAATACAATAGATAACACATTAACAATATTAAAATCATCAACCAACAAATACCTTAACATTAAAGAAAACATTCAGATTTACAAACCCAAATTCAAACACGAACTACTAAACGAACAAATAAAGTCCATACACGACCCAATTTTTACGCCAATCTATTAAGTTAGATCTCGCGAACGAGTGCTTCGCGAGTTAAATAATCCTTGCTAGTGATATGTGATGATAGTGATATGAATTTCTTGTTAATTATCTAGTTCTTAAATTAGAAAACAACATTATAAGCCTTATAGCATTTAAGTATTACTTGAAACTTATAGACTGATGAAAAGTTGTGATGATTATTACATAAAAATATTGGTTCACTATTGGCTCAACGTCTGGTCTATAGCTGGTACAATCTGGTCAACCTTAGGCACATTGCGATTTTCCACATTGATTGTTAAATAAAAAGAAACCTAACAGCTATTAAGAAAATTGGAATAAGCTACATGATTCTATAGTGAACAAGGAGTATGTAATCCTTTTTTTGCAGTGATTGTTGTAATAATTGAGTAACAATATCAAAATTACTTTCAAAATGTCGCTTAATCGGTTTGTTACTGGTGCAGTCACCCTACATGATTTGTCTTAACCTAATTAATTATTTACAAAACAATGATATTAATATGTTGTAGGCCGAGATGCTCTCACTCTCCCGAGTGGCGACGCAATACATAAAAACCTACACAAAATGACAAACTGACAAGCTACATAACAACTCTCTAAGCTAGATAGCGCCACTTCAACACTTTTAACGTAGTTCAAAACAAGTTATAAGCGTAGTAACTATGTCGACTTTATTTTATATATCGAGATAAGTAATCTTAAAAATTAACAAATTTGTGGATGTTTCGTCCGTTTCCTTTGTTTCGAATTCAAACTTCGAACGTACATTAAAGCAACACTACAATTTGTAATAAATAATACAATTACTGTTGCCAGAAGAGCATACAACCACATCATAGTTAAATAAAACTCTCCTTTAGAAATAACAATATCATCATAGTGTACTCTTAACGTGCTCAATTCACAGTTTAAGCCTTGGTGCTTTTTAAAATTAATAACTGATGTCTTACTTTCTATAGTAGAATTGCCGCAAATTTTATCTTCTTTAGTTGATCGAATTATCAGTGTAGAATTGCTTAACCAACACAATGCTCCATCAGTTTCTGTTCCGCTGGTCTCCAAAAATGTAAGCTGTTCCATTTTGCTTACTGCTGAAAATTCAACCCGTGCGTCTTCAAATTTAATCCAAAGTTCTTGCAAGGTCGGTGAAATCAGACTGATGGTTGTTAACTGATTCTCATTTAGAATTACTTTTTGCAGGTTGATATGCACATTTAAATTCCAATCAATGCTTTTTAAATTATTACGTTCCAAGTACAATTCTTGTAAATTTGGAGAGTTCAGCAGCAGCTTACTTTCAATAGCTGTTAATTTATTGTCAGCTAAATTCAAAACCTGCAGTTGGTTGAGAGCTATGTTGAATGACTTCAGGTTGTTTCCGGTAAAGTCCAAATATGTCATGTTTTTAAATTTGCAGAATGCGTCGAACTGCACATAGGATACACTGCAGTTTGAAAATGTTATGTTGGTTGTGTTTGCCGAAACATTTTCAAAATAACTCCACTTTAATATTGGCAAACGTTCGTTTTGTAATTCAAGTCCATGTGCTTGAGCAATCAGCACCAATACAAGGAGTTTAGCAAATAAATCATCTAAATATGATTTTGTCATTGCCAAAATGTTTAAAAGCGAGAAATGTATAAAATAGTTTGATTTTCTCAGATTGCTTTGAACTACGGCCTTTTCAGGCTTAACCTCGCTCTTGAGGTCATTATCATGCCCATATTTATCCGGTATTTGTATACATGGGATTGTGACAGTCTCAGTCTCTTTAATGTGTGATATTCCAACGTTTCTAAACCAAACACAGAAAACAAAAATATTAATTCGAATAGTTTGATAGTTTTCTTAAATATTAAAAATTAAAAATGTATAACGATAAATCTCGAATTTCAGAATTAAAACGATTAGCTAGTATGCAGTGATAAAAATGACAACGTTAACAAAAGATAATAGATTAACGCACTTGATATATAGCATAGATATTAACATATCAGCATGATTTACCTGCCCATTTGGATATTTACATGAGCGGCCAATTTTGACGGAGCTAGCCAGCTATCATCCTGATCCTGACCCTGATTTAGTTAATTTATTGATTTAAAATGTACATAATATATGTTTATTAACAAGTTCCTCACATTTTCGGTTGAATCACGCATTGTTCTGGAGTCGTTGTTATTGACGTGACAGACGGATGAATCTTAGAATCGTACGTGTAAACGAAGCATTTTGGCGCGTAAACCATCTACTAATTTGCAACAAGTTGGAATTGTGCACCACTCGATGACCTTGTTCTGAAATAATAAATTTCCGACATATTTGAATTAACACAAGAAATATTTGTGTGTGTTCTTTTTACGAATTTTTAAAATTTACCGAAACTTTTTGCCTCCTTATAGTTATATACCTATTTGAATCAATATGACGGTATTATGAACATATTAATTTAAAATAACGATTTGCTGGATGCGCGACTGCTGCGCCAATATATGAATATTAGTCAAAAACATGTTAAAAATTAAATTCCTATTGCTGACAAAATAAGTGATAATATGTGGTACGAATAATCAAAAATAAGACGCCATTTACTTTTATAGGCTTTATATAATACTAGCTTTAACCCGAGGCTTCGCTCGCGTTGAATCCATCAAAATATTTTTTTTTTATTAAATAAAAAGTAGCCTATAACCATTCGGGGACCATCGGGGACCACTAAGAATATGTGTACGGATTTGATGTTGCCGTAGCTGTCGGTAATACAGTGTGATGGTACTATAGTACTTAGGTTTGAGCTTCATTGCTGGAATGCTAGATGGCGTTAAAGTAGTCAAATAGCCAGATGCAGAGGTATTATTGGCTAAACAATTTCTTTATTTTAATTAAAAAATAATTTTTTTTATTAAATAAAAAGTAGCCTATAACCATTCGAGCACCACTAAGAATATGTGTACAAATTTTCATGATGATCGGTTAAGTAGTTTTTGCGTCAAAGTGTAACAAACATCAGGACTTTCGCATTTATAATATTAGTAGGGATTATATAGTAGCATCCTTGAATATGCTTCTATTTTAATCTCTAATTGCAATATATTTCAATAAATCAATATTTTTCAAATTTTACATTAATTTGAATATAACAACTTTTAAATACTGGCGATTCCAGTCAAATAAAATCAAAATTTCATAATTTTATATTTCTTCACATTTTACACCGTGAATTGCATGACATATTAATAATTTCTTATTTCCTTGCGTACATAATATTAATCACTATACAAATAAGACTGAATGCATCGTTTTGTGGCGTAAACCGCGCGGAGATTTAAGCTTTTACGGTTTCTTTGTGAGTGCAATCTTAATATTTGCATAACATTCGGAAAACACACAAAATCCAGACGAATCTGACACAAACCAGTAAACATCGCACTATAAAGGTAGCTACACCAAAGCAATTCAGTCATAATCATCTTCTGCATATTTCCAACAAGATTACACAACCATTCTAATCAATTCCACAATGAAATTAAATTGCTTTAATTATTTTACGCATTAAAATGTTCATAAGCCATGCTCAACGTCCAACTGCGAATGATTTACTTATGTTCAACAATATCATCATAAATTACTTCTTGGGAGGCAGGATAAGAACGCGTAAAAACCACGTGCACTCATCACTCGTCATTCTGTGTGATTTTTTCGCGGTAAATAGCAACGCAGAACGTATTATTAACGTATTTACACGTAAATTTCGTCTTATCATCGGCTTCCCACGACTCAACGTGTCAAAATGCAAGGCTTTTGTTTTTTGGTCGTGTTTTTTGTGTGTTTTATGCGTGATTACGTGCGTAACACAAGGGGCTGAGTTATATAATCACGTCTGTATTTAGAAAAAAGCAAATAATGTGGTTTTTATTGTTTTGATGGCTTGGATAGCAATTTTTGTTCAATATGTGAAAATTTTCCGATGATAATGTAACTATTATTGCTTTGTTTGCTTATTAGCGACGTTGAAGTTGAATTAAAACCGAAAACGTCGCCGACAATTTGTGCAAACACTCAATTTGCATGATAGCCGAGCAAAAACAGGTAATTTGCTGCCGCGATGCGCATTTTGGTCATCATCCTCAAATGTGGTACAAGGACAATGACTTTTATTTTTTCGAAATTTATCGACTCTTTTTCAAATCAATAAATTTTATTTAGCATTGAATCAAATCACATACTGCCTGATATTAGAGAGATAATTGCTGTTATATTAGCATAATAATTCCGAATTTGACCATCGAATCAGAATAAAAACCAGCAGACCGGAACGAAATGGATTTTGTTGATTTTTTATGTTTTTTAAGAATTTGTTACGTAAACTAATTCAAATTTCGTGTGTGGATTGGATAAATCGCGATCTGTCTACGAGGTTGCAAAGAATTCCACTAGAGGGCGTTTTAGTTGGTGTAATTGTAGTACAGATGTCGCACTAGTAGTTTTACTTCACATTAAAATTTCGCGTTTTTTAATTTCCAGCAGTAATTAATCAATTCATTCACGGTTCAGTGGTATGACTAGGCGTTTGTAGTTGATATCAGTGTTTTAGAGATAAGAATCAACGGAGAATTGGTCAATATATCGAACCGATGCACGCCGTCGCCGTCGCGGCGCGCATCTCGCTTCTTACAACATGGCGTGCTAACGTTTCGCGCACACGCATCTGAGGCGAGCAACGTTTTCGTGTGTTCGGCGATCGCGCAGCGGGTTGTTTGGTTAGATCGGTGCGAAAAGCCGCTCCTCGTCGAAGAGGTGTGCGATTGCCAGCATCGATGGTCGTCTAGCGCACGTCCGAAAGGCATCTGACACTCTGGTGCGTGCCCCCCGTGCGCTTGTTGCGTGTTTGCCTTCCAGAAGACGGCCGCGATAGGCACGATGACAAACGCCGCCAACAGCATCGAGATCGAGTACGCGGAGCTCAATCAAAAGGATGGATGGCCAGGCTTCTATCAGGTAAACATTCATCTAACTTCTCTACAGCTGAAAACGAAAACGGCTCGCATTCCGATTAACACCCACGGTTTGATCGAGGCAGATACGGCCGCTAATTGATACGTGATTCATTTCGCTGCGCCTGTTGCTGTTGCCATACACCGCTAGCAATTGCACTTGTTACTAACAATAACAGTTTATAAACCTGAATCGCATTCCGCCACTTTCGCGCAAATACCATGCTCTTGTTATGCATTCATTACAACAAACAACAACAAATATTCTTATCTATAAAGTTTTTTCTTTAATTCAAACAAATAATCAATTTTTTGCTTAAATTCTGTTTGATTTGAACATCATATTGATTTTCCTGAATGTGAACTCAAAGGGCAAACCACAATCAAGTGTTATTACTCTTTACAACCCATATAAACTTTAACATTTGACATTTTCTTTTGTAGCAAATCCGTGTGGCGTCCGCGAACAACGCCCACGCAGCGACCGAGTCCATCAAGCCGGAGAACAAGGTGCTGAATCGCTACCGCGATGTGATGCCCTACGACCACAGTCGCATTGTGCTTAAAAAGGGCGACACCGACTACATCAACGCTAATATAGTGAGCGTGAAACGCGCCGGCCGGTCGTACATTCTCACGCAAGGCCCGCTCTGCAACACAGTAAGCCATTTCTGGTTGATGATCTGGGAGCAGCGCAGCCGCGCCGTGCTGATGCTCAATAAACTCATCGAGAAGAAGCAGGAGAAGTGTTACCAGTACTGGCCGGCGAAGACCGGCAAGGATCACATGCTGAAACTGGACGATGTCGGGCTGACGGTGGAATACACCGAATACCATGATTATTCACATTATCTCACGCGTACGCTGCGGCTGACAGACGTGGAGAGTGAAGAATCGCGCGATATTATCCAGTTTCACTATACGACTTGGCCGGATTTCGGCGTGCCGAGCTCACCGACTGCATTTCTGCAGTTTTTGAGGAAGGTGCGTGAGGCGGGCGTGTTGGATGAGAATGTCGGCCCGGCTGTTGTTCATTGTTCGGCTGGAATTGGACGATCGGGGACGTTTTGCTTAGTTGATTCGTGTTTAGTTTTGGTAATTTTATATAACCTACAAATTTAAATCATAATTACATGTTTTTTTTGGATTGTAGATTGAACAATTTGGTGTGAATGAAGTGGACGTGAAGCAAATCCTCTTGGAAATGCGTCAGTATCGGATCGGGTTGATTCAAACACCGGAACAATTGCGTTTTTCATATCAAGCAATCATCGAGGGCGCGAAGAAACTGCTGAATAAGAATTCCAACAACATTGACGATGAGGTAATAAATACCACAATTTATCACCGAATCATCATCCATCATCATCCTCAATCATTTCCTAATCATTCCAACTATCCTGATTTACAGGCCGGATGTGTAAGTATGATGATGTTTTAGAACTGCAACGAAAACGATACGGAAATCATATGCAACAGCACCGAGGAGGTGCCGGAGGCACACAGTTCCGATGAAGAGGAGCCGCCGCCTCTGCCTCCACCGCGTAATGATAGTCTAAGGAATGCTGCGGTTGCGGCCGGTGATAGGCCTCTACCTACAATACCCAACAGCACGTCACTCAGCGACTTTACTTACGAGGACAGTGATAGTGAAAAAGAGGTAATATTTTTTTTATTTAAGAAAATATTGAAGTGTAAATATATTCTGTGATTGTTTAGCCGTGTCCGGATGGACCATTACCGACAGTGCCCGGCGAGGATGAAGATGGTAGCAGCGTAGACGAATTAGAGGATGAGACTGAACAGGACCAAACTGAGAGTCCTCGGTCGGAGGAATCTGATAAACCGAACAGCGAAAGGTATTTTAATGAAAATTATCTCTTTCTCAAAATTATAATATTTTCTATCTTTAAAGATGTCTATCGCCGGCGACCGAACTGCGACAACGCAAACGCTTGGAGCGCAACGAGCAGTTGGCGGCGCAAGTGCGCGACATGAAGCGACGCCAGCAGGCAAACGAGCAGTGGACGCAATTCAAGAGGTCTCTATACAAACCATTTGTCGTAACGGGTTGCATTGCAATTACTGGGGGGCTCCTTGCGTACTACTTTTATTTCAAAGCTTGATCCGAGAACGACGCCGTTACTTAAAAAAAACACCTAGACGCAAAACAAAACACAACAAACTTTTAAAAAAATAGAAGAAAGATTGAGATGGTTTTCGCGATTCTGCTTCTTTGTTATTATCGATGGTTATTATTCATTCATATCAATGCGTAAATTTTGATTTGAGCGAGAGTTGAAAGTTTGACAGAGAGTTTATTGCATATTAACGCCGTATTTATATAGTATATTGATTAATATTAGCTGGACGGACGGAGGAGACACTATTTTTCACGATTGTTTTCGGTAGCACAAACACACGCAACGTTGTTGTTGTTGTTCTAAGACTTACTGGCTGCTACAGACGATGAGGAGTACTTTATTTATTAGTTTTTATGTTACACGATACGTATAGATTTCTATGCGTGTGTTTTTCTTGTTTCTCGAAACGTAACGCATCAAATATTCCTTATCTGCGTATTCCACTATGATTAGAACGCGAACTCTGCGCATTTCTACACATTCACATACACATACACACCAACACCACGCACGCATAGTTTCTGATCATGCATGCTTTGTTCGTTTTCGGATCGACGATTAGAAAAGACTGATAACGTGTAGCGCGCGCGCTTGCCATCTAAATATTTATTTAAAAAAAAAAACAGCGTGTTTCATTCTTCTCTTGTGATAAAAACATTTTCCATGCGCGACCTATTTTCATACGATTTATAAGACACAATTTGATACTCATAGCTGACTTTTTTATGATAAGTGTAACTGGGGGGGAAACGATAAATGAGAGAGCGAAGCAAAGGTCAACGTTAATTGTTAGTTTAAAAGAAAAAAACAAATAACAGCCACACACAGAACATTCCTTGGAAAAAGTGCCTATGCTAAAACATAAAGTCTAAACTACGATGGTAAGAGACGCAGACGCCGCAACCAAAACCAGTAGGCAGCTAATCCGCTTTATTATCATTGCGCTAAATTGCCGCTTTGTGTTAATTTAGTGTACAGACGACAATCGGTGCAGACGAGAGTGCTGCATCTGCCCGTAAATTTGATTCTTTTTTCTTTCAATGTGATTACTAGACATACATATTTCATAAATAACTCGTAAAATGAAATATTCAATAAAAAGTATATTAATAATAAGCAGATTCGTTTACATTTTGAGTTTGCTTGGTATGATTTTTGATTTGTTTCCTCGCAGGAAATAGAATAAATCTTTTTTATTTTATCTGTATATGTAATAATTATAAGGTAGATTTCTGATTTCAGGCCCAAAACCACTCTGCCCGACTGACATACGAAATTTTTTTGGAGGAGTTTGGACGACACGTTTAGATTAGTCGAAGATAAATTCTGCGGTCTCACATTTTAAAACAAACCCACACACAAACACAAAAATCAGGCCTCCGCAGTGCGTGTGCTGACAAATAAATAAATTACGACCTAGTCAACGTTTATTGCTAGAAGGTTGAAGATGTTGAAGGTGGATTTATCGTTGTGGCAGTAACCAATAGGCAGTAACACGTAATGTATAAGTAGCAATACAAACAATTGAATGATATTCTAATACTAATGCGTTTTCGGTTGCAAATGATTGTTTCTTGGTTCGTTTTTTTCAACTAGCATCGACTTTTTCGCAGCCGTCGTGTTAATCACATCCGCACACCGAAAACAAACAGCTATGTTGTAAATTTCTTTTGGTGTGTGCGAGATGAGATAACAGATACTTGTGTAGTCCATCCTAAAAATGAAAGCAAACGAATATCCTACTAGAAAATAGCGTTGAATCTCTGTTGTGGTTCATAACGAGCAACTCTTTCAGGTACTTTTTATACAGATTTATTCCTTAAACGGCGACCACTCGTCCCCGCTAGCCATTTAGCCTAACCATGTCAATGAGATGACTATTTATCGAACGAACACGTTTTTATATAGAACAATTGCATTGTATATAAACTGTATGTACATAATAGCGCACACGCAAGATGATTACTCACTTGATCAATCAAAATACATTCAGTTACTAGTTTTATACGTATAAGGGTAGCGAGTCTCGTCTTTTACAATGTGCATAACGTAGGACAATGAGAAATTACACTTGAGTAGTTGCATTTGGTTTTGTGTACGATTAATACGATTATCACGAGATGGAGGAGGAAGAAAGAAATAACCCGAATTGTACCTGAATTTCTTTCTACGTTACTTTTATATCGAATAAAAAATTTGTTTCAATTTGTATACGACGTGGCTGTCACACGAAATTATTTTGCTGTTGTGTCATGAATCATGCATTTATATCTTTTGATTATTGTGATGATTATATCATTGGTTGAAATTGTGTGTATGTTTGGTGATAGTACGACGTTTGAACCGAGTAATGAGAAGAGTAAAGTGAATTTTTTCGATTCGGTGGTTGAGCAAACGCTGCCAGTGCGTGGATCAACGAAAAAGTTGATGTTGCTTACCACACCTAGGGGTTTTTCGACGCCAGGGGTTGAACGTAGTGATAGTAAACCTTATGAAGAAATCAGAGCTTTGTTGGCGAAAGTTTTGGAGCAAATTGAAGAGATTGAACGCAAATCCGATAAGAAATCGGTTACTCCCGAGTCTATTTCATTTTCATCTCCAAGCAGTTTGCTGCCAATGATTAATAATAAAATGAAAAAGGCGAAGAAAGATAACGAGGGAAAGACTGGTTCGAAATGGGGACATTGGACGGATTGGTCGTCGTGCAGCGTGTCCTGTGGTAAAGGACGTCAGATAAGATGGCGGCATTGTGTTGAGAATTGCACTGAAGCTGAGACCGAAATGGAGGAGAAAACGTGCCAGTTGCCTGCGTGTGGTCCAGGAAAACTCTTCGGTGTTATTAAAATCTAGTCTACAAATACTTTACATGGTTTTTAGTTGTTTCTTAGGGTGAATTACCTTGACTTAGGCAACAGTGCAGCGACATCAGAGTAACCTAATAATAAATATGATTGATTTAATACGTTTGTAGTTGCAGATGAGTTTACTAGTACCATTTGATAAGGAGATCTCTTTGAGTGAGGGTTGAACGTCAAGATTTGCTCCTTTTGCAATCAGCCATTGCACCAATCGCGCATGCCCGAAGGACGCCGCCATTTGTATAGGTGTTATGCCGCGGTTGTTTGGCATGTTTATATCTACGCCTGCATGAAATAATGCGTGGATGCATGTTGCATCTTTGCTTGTTATGTTGCACACGCAGTTGAAAGCAGCGAGGTAGAAAGAGTTTTCGTGGTTATCGGTTTTTGCGTTTATGTCGGCACCCATTGATAACATTGCCTTCACCAGGACAGTGTTTCCATTCGAGCAAGCCCACTGTTGGTAAAGTAACTTAAAATTGTCAACTGCTAATAATTAAAATGATTAGGAATTAATATACCAAAAATGGTGTGTAGCCATTGGCGCTTATGTTGATTAAACTCGGTTCCAATAGGGATAATGCATGTACGGTGTCGTTATTCTGTGAGAATTATTATTAATATAGGAATATTTCATGTGTTAATACTTACTTTAGTTGCCTGTTGCAATTGTTTTAACTTAGTTCTTGAATATGGCAGTTGAGAGACTTGAATGTAATCAAAGCAAAACCAAACAAAAAGTACAATAATTGTGCATAAAATAATGTAAAATATTAGATCGTAAGAGTTGCTTTCAAATTGGCTCATTTTATCATTGTTTGTCTTTGTTTGAATTGCTTTAAGATACAATTCTAAGTCATCTAGTTCGTTGGCAATGTTTGAAAGTCTAGTTCGTAACTTGGACGACATTCTAACCTATAAATAAAACTTGGTTAGATCTTTGTGTGATATATGTGAGTAAAATTATTATTTATGTTTCTTACTCTTATTATTAATATTTAATCAAATATTATTTTAGTAATAGTTTCTTTAAACTTTTAAAATGAAGTTTTAAACTTGTGCAATCTTTCCCGGGTACTAAAACTAACCTTAAAATAAAATTGTATGTCATGAGTTTGTGTCAAACACCGATCGCAACAACCGGGGTTTTGTTCATAGCAAACTCGATTTATATTAAAATTAGTTATATATTAACTGTAAAACCAAAGTGAATTTATAGTTTTTAGTAGTGTTTATGTGATTCTCCATAGAATAATGTCTTCGCCAGCGCCAAAGTCTCCAGAACAAAATGAAAAGACACGAAGATATGATAGACAATTGCGGTAAACATTTCCTCCAACTCTTAAAATGTATTTAAACTAATTAAAATCTTTACAGATTGTGGGGTGATCATGGACAACAACTGTTAGAAAACGCCAAGGTGTGTCTAATCAATGCTAATGCACTGGGCACTGAAATACTCAAATCACTTGTTCTGCCTGGCATCGGAGCATTCACAATTATTGATGGAGAGAAAGTCACACAGGAAGATATTGGTTCTAAGTAAATTTAATATTTATAATTATTTTATTACAGTTGTAATTACAGAAAAGATCAGTTTCTTTTTTAGATTCTGAATCAGTAGGAACTTCAAGAGCACAAGCAGCGACTCAGAGTCTGATTGAATTAAATCAAGAAGTTGTTGGTGATTATATCGATGAGTCTTTGGAGAATGTCATGGCACAAAATCAAGATTTTCTAGGCAGTTTCACAGTTGTAATTGCTTCTTGCCTTCCAGAAAAGTAAGTAATATTTAATTTTAATTAAAAAAACATGAGATAATGATTTATTTGTTTGTAATTTTGTTTAGAATGTTGATTCCCTTATCAAAGCAACTATGGGAAGCTGGTATTCCTTTAATATCATGTAGAAGTATAGGTTTCTTGGGTTACATTCGCCTGCAAGTGCGGGAACACACCGTTATCGAAACGCATCCAGATAATGAAAATCCCTGGGGTGATCATGGACAACAACTGTTAGAAAACGCCAAGGTGTGTCTAATCAATGCTAATGCACTGGGCACTGAAATACTCAAATCACTTGTTCTGCCTGGCATCGGAGCATTCACAATCATTGATGGAGAGAAAGTCACACAGGAAGATATTGGTTCAAAGTAAATGTTATTTTTATTAATTATTTTATTACCAGTATGACTAAAAGAAAAGTTTAGTTTCTTTTTAGATTCTGAATCAGTAGGAACATCTAGAGCACAAGCAGCAACTCAGAGTCTGATTGAATTAAATCAAGAAGTTGTTGGTGATTATATCGATGAGTCTTTGGAAAATGTCATGGCACAGAATCAGGATTTTCTAGGTAGTTTCACAGTTGTAATCGCATCTTGCCTTCCAGAAAAGTAAGTTAAATTTAATTTAAACTTTAAAAAATACACGATTATAATTTATTTGATTGTAATTTTGTTTAGAATGTTGATTCCCTTATCAAAGCAACTATGGGAAGCTGGTATTCCTTTAATATCATGTAGAAGTATAGGTTTCTTGGGTTACATTCGCCTACAAGTTCGGGAACACACCGTTATCGAAACGCATCCAGATAATGAAAATCCCGATCTACGTTTGGAGAATCCCTGGCCTGCTCTGAAAGAACACTTGGATAAAATCGACATAAGTACATTGGATAAAAAAGAAAGGAGTCATGTCCCAGCTGTGGTGATTTTATATTATTATTTAAAAAAGTTTCACAATCAACACGGTCATTATCCAATTACAAGACAAGAGAAAAACGAGCTGCGACAAATGATTCTCAAGAATAATTTCGAAGAAGAATTTAACTTAGAAGAAAATTTCAAAGAGGCATCACAGTTTGTAAACACTGCCATTGGTCAGGCTAAAATTCCAGCATCTATTCAAGCAATTTTCGATGATGAACAATGTTCAAATTTAACAGAAAATGTAAGTAATTTTACTACATGACAATTTTTATTATATTTTCCTTTAATTTAAGAGTCCATCATTTTGGATAATGACCTCTGCACTTCGTGAGTTAGTCCAGAGTGAAGGACAACTGCCATTACGCGGATCTCTTCCTGACATGGCCGCTGACACTACAAGTTATGTTGCTCTTCAACAACTCTACCAAAAACGAGCACAAGAACAAGTCGAAGCAGTGCACCGTCGTGTCACACAGATTCTACGCAACCTCAACCAACCAGCGGACGCAATAACCGAAGCAGAAGTTAAACTTTTCTGCAAACACGCTAATCAGCTTTATGTAGTCCGCGGAACGTGCATCGCAGACGAATATCAGCGAAATTCAGTTGACATGGGTTCATATCTAGAAGATCCTGATAGTCTCATAATGTATTACGTAATTTTACGAGGTTTGGATCGGTTTGTAAGTGAATTTAACGTATATCCCGGCCAGTTTGACGACCAGGTCGAACCGGATGTGTTAAAACTCAAGTCAACCATTGGTAAGTTGCTCACTGAATGGGGCTGTGCGCCAATTTATCGCGATGAACGTGTACACGAAGTGTGCCGTTATGGCGGCGCTGAATTACATTCGATTTCATCGACTCTCGCAGGCTGCGCGGCGCATGAGATAATCAAACTGATCACGCATCAGTATAAACCGTTAAACAATACGTTTATCTACGACGCCATCACTTCTTCGTCGGCTACGTTCGTTTTATAAATAACACGAGATTTGAAACAAAAATATATTTACAGACAGAATAGACGAAGAGACAACCACTAGTGTAATTGTTTTCTATTTAATTAAAATAGTAAAACTTGGAATTTTCCTTTTTGCTAAACACAGAAAATCCAATATGGCCGCAGCGTGTGTAGATTTTGTTTAATTTAACAATTCTCGTTACAGAACGACGATAAGAAATGCTATAAATATCTTTTTTTTTTCTTCGGTGTGATGCAACGATTAATAACTTAGATTCATGTTGTCGTTCTTTGGCAGTGGTACAGGCCGGCCGCTGATGATCACCTGCGGGCCGGTGTAGTAGCGGATGAGGAGACTAGAACCGCGTTTCAGCTGCTGGCGATTGGAGAGGTCGAACCAGCAGTCGGACCAGTTGGAGTACATCGGCATCAGTGGTGGCATGCCGGCTGCGAGACCTGAGTTGGACACCGCCATGCAGTTGGACACTACTTGGAATGGGTAAGTAATGGCACTTGCTAGGAACTATTAACAAAAACAGATGAATTTTAACGTTAATTAGCGCGTAAAATGTAAGTTTATGATGTGTGATGGTTATACTCACAGACATAGTTGCATTTGTATACATTTGCAAGTCTGGTTCCTCAAAGACGTAGGAGTTAACTGCAAATGTGAGCGAAGAAGCTAGTAGAATGAAAATAATATCACCCAATACTCGTGGTACTAGTCCTGAGAAAAACCCTAGGATTCCGTTTTCTTTGTAAACTTCTCCAATTGAACTAAATAAACCCCTGAAAAGGCAAAGTCATAAAATCGAAGATTATTAAGGCGTTTTTGAGTTTTAACTTACATATATCTGGTTTCATTGCCAACAAACTGTGCCATCATCCGAATGGTGATCACATGAAAAGGATGGCTAATGATGATGGCGCTGGTTCGACTAACAATGTCCCGTTTGAGGTCCTTGACGAACTTCCCGCGTGGATCCTCTACGTTTTGCTGATGTTCTTCATCATCGTCTCTACTCACTTCCCCTGCGTATCTTTGTAGAACCTTCTCTGTAGTGACTGCACATACCAGACTACCGCATAGTTTAGGGACAAGCCCTCGGTACATCCCCGCGAATCCATCCACGGTTTTGATATGCTTTACTGTAATCAATTAACACCGACAAATTGAGTTAATGTCTCTGCTCTGACATAAGATGTGATTTTTACCATAGTCAAATATATTCGGTAATTTCAGCGCCGGTTTGCCGAAAAACGTTGTGCATGGGCGTGGTGGGATTGGCTCGTAGCCAAGCTGCAATATTATAATGAATTTATTACAGATATCAATTTATTTCTAGTTGATTACTCTATGTCTATGCGAACCTGGATCAAAACTTTAGCGTATTCGATGGGATGTGAGGCTGTGTTGAGGATAATACGACTCGCGTAGTTGGACCAGTAGCTGTTCTTGTTGGCTTCCCTCGGTTTGGACATGTTTCGGCGAATTTTAGCGCGACAGCGTCGTATTATTTGTTTGATATCAGCAACGAAAGAAAAAATTAAAATCACGAACGGGTTGATTTATTAGATCGTGCGGCTGCCGTTGCCCGTCGACCGGCTAGGCGTATACTCGGTTGCCTATATTGAAACGACATAAATTTTGACATTGAATCGTACCGGCTCGAGTGTTATCGACAATCGCGCAGCATTTGTTCACTAAACAAGCAACAACTTCGTAGAACAACGGACGCTTCTAGTCGTCGGTGCAGAAATTGTGAAAGAAAATAGTGTTAAACATCAGATTCGTCTTCATTAGAATATTGCTGGCAAAAGGTATATACATACTATTTATCAATATTTATAACGAGCGATATTTGGCTTTTCTTGAACGCTGAAATTCAAATTTTCATTTTTCTTGTAATCTTTGTTCCGCCATTTTGCGAAAATGTTGAACAAGACGCCGTGTTGAAAATGCAAAAATGAATCCAGTATTTCTAGAAAGATAGTCACATAAAAAATGATTATTTTTTATTATTAAAAGTTAAAAAATAAATTGCAATTAACTTAAGAAATCAATTCGTGTGTTATAACATAATATATGACATTGTAGTTGAGCCAATTGTAAGAAAAATGATCAGATTAATTTCCCAAGCAAGTATTAACATACTTCATCATAACTGAATGTGTATAATTCTACTCCACTGCACAGCATAAAATAACGTATATCTCATACATTCCCTCAACTAAGTGCACTTCTCTGTTCACGGTAAACACGTCCTTTTATCGCGTACGAACCGGTTCTTGATAAGATTTTTATACCGTTTATATTTTACTAATAAAAATAGTTAGGAACTTATTCCGTGTAAATCGCGATGATGTCTTCGATGGCTGATTTCGAGCCGAATATCAGCGCGCCCATTCCAGCGATGCACACGATGACATTCTTCCAAATTTTCCAATAATACCTTCCGAAACCTTTATCCCAGAAGGTAACTACTTCGATAAACACAGGGCACAGCAGGCCCAAGATTGAGAAGCAAAACGCGCCGATGAGCGACACGAACGGTGTTATCGTCGGCACCGCGATTGCTATCGCCACCGCCAGGATAACCAGAATTGTTCTTAGAATGTAGTTGGCCAACATTGGTCGTTTTTCATATTTATCCTTAATTCCCACCCAGACAATATCCAAAGCGACGTAGAACTGCAGTCCGAAGGTGCAGAACACAGCCAAACCAATCAGAATCTTTACAGCTTGCGCAGCAACGTCTTCAGCTGGCAAGTTTAGAGTAATAGAACCTTCAGTTTGGTCACCATACTTCAAATATCCAAGGAATCCGAGGAAGATGTAGATAAGAGTAACACCAGACATGCCCTGGTTGAGTACACCGCATAATCCGACAAAGTGTTGGGGTGTTTCCATGTTGTTCTCCAACGGCATGACCACACCAATCGCTTCGATGGCGAAAATGGGATAAGGATGTTTGTACAGATGTGTGCTATGGGTTTTTCAAGGTAAATTGATGGTACTTACTAAAATATAAGCACAATGAGTACAAATCACAGCGACGATGATGGTAGCGAAGATACCAACAACCAAGCCAGCGCTCATGAACGCCACTGGCATTGCCAGAATGCCAGTACCAAGGGACGCTTTCAATAAATGCGTCAAAGTATCACAGTCCCTTGAAAATAAAATAATTAAAAATTAATTTCATCTTATCTAACTGCAATGTGTACTAATATTTACTATTGCAATTTGCCAATTGTTTCTTATTTGTTTCAGTATTGCGAGAAATACTTACGAGACGGGATGATCGAGCTGACGGGCCTTGAACGGGTCGAAATCTCCGTTGATTGCTCCATTTTCCAGGTCAGTTTTCGTAACCTTATATCTATAATCACGACAAACAATTATCAACTAGGCGCCATTGTAATACACTACAACTAAAAATACTCCCGACATGAATATGCATAATAACGCGCGTGGATCATAAGTGAAAATAAATAACGGCAGGTGTGAATCACATGCGGTATATCCGAATGCATCCAAATTCAATTAGGCGTAATTATCGTGTAAAATATGTTTATATTACGTGTTAGCACCGGTGGGCAATTCACCCAAGTGTACCACGTCCATGGACGCCATGTTTGAACTAATTCAGTTCAAGATTCGAAGAATTAATTGTTAAAAATGCACTCGCAAAGTTAGCATAATTTTTCTGCTGATTTGGTAGCATCGTAAGTGTAAGTAATGAAATTTTACGATACACGTGTCAAGGCGAAGCATGTTTGCATTTAGATTTTGTTGTTTCGTCGCATATTATAGGAAATCAATACGTGATATATAAACTTTTGCAATCGCGGGTAGATAATGCTCACCATAAACATTTTTTTACATTGCATAATTTCCTATTGGAATTGTTCGTATTTTGCGTATGACAGCAAATTAAATCAGAAACGCTTCTTGAACAATAAATATGATTGTTGCGCATATTCGGAATTTAAACCGTATGAACTTAGTGAACTTTCGTCTTTATCAGAGTTTTGCTAAAAATTGACGTAAAAAAATTAGTTCATGTGATATGAACCCAAACTCCAGAACGCATTCCATTTTAACATATAGACTAACGCGTAAAACCACAGTAATAGTTTTTAAATATTTCACTATTTGCATATTTTTATCTTATCTATACGCCTTTTGTTTAGTTGGTTAAGGTCGAGGTTAAACTTGAGAGAAAAAAATAGAATTTGCATTTGAATTGCCTAGTTTTCCCATTGTAAATTTAAACGCGCGCGTGCGCAGCTCACTTTTACCTTTCACATTCACTTAATTCATATTTAGAGTTACTTACTTGTTTCCATTGGATATAGAACCGTCCTGCGGCAGGAAAGTATCCAATTCTGTGGCGGGCTTTTCCGTCTGCACCTCCATAATTAAATAAATTAATAAATTTAACTTAAAATAATTTTCAAAAACTTACCATTTTAAATTATTTCGTTTTATCTTATGTCGCGTAATCCAATATAAAATTTAATTGTTGCTACACCAATGTCGAAATTCAGTTCAACTGAACTCGAACTCCTGCGGCGATCGTCGTGCGAATGCGGCTCAGCCCTGCGAGCAAAAATCATATAAAGCGTTTAGAAACACGCGCGCTGCTTGCGTCGGTCAGTGATTGTTGTTGTAAATTATACGACGCTGTGATTAACCACGCGTATCAATAACGTCACACATACACGAACTACTCGTACATCCGTTGCTCTTCCCTGATAACAACAATTAATGATAAGCCGAACTCACGCTTTTTGCAATCACACAGTATAGATTTCGCGCTTACGTAACGCGCCCACACGACTCAGCACACGAAAAAAAATCAAATTCAAGGTGATCTGAGTCTATTTACCTATCATCTACGTCGGATACTGCTAAAAATCAAAAGTTTAATCTATATTAGCCGAAAAAACGCGCAGTTAATTTTTTAACGTACAATTAACTATTGTTTATCAACTAATTGAATAATTCACTTCACGCACTTCTAGTATGTCAACAGAATATGCAAATATTGAGTTACGTGGACACACGAGTACGTCAAGAATGGAATATTAGAATTATTAGCGTTCGTTGTCGGCCGAATTTGCATTTCAAATTTCCGTTGGTGTGCTAAGTATCCATAATATTCGCTCACCATCGAATAAACGCATGTGTTGTTAAGCGAAACTTTTTTAAGATGAATTAAATCATCTTTTAATTAAGCATCAAATTTCCCCAGTTATGAGGAGATAGATCAATGTGCAACAAGATGTTTACCAGTTTTAAGCAAAAATTAAACATAATGCAATAACATTTCTGAGGAATTGCAGTTAGATATCATATCTTCGATTAATTAAATTTAATTTTAATAGATGCTGGCTGAATTGGGTTTTCCTGACTTGGCGTCACTTTCTATGTCGATTATTTTAAGATTGTCATACGAGCGGCGCTCTAGACTTGAAATGAAACTTTCGTCTCTGCACAGCGTAATGACACGGTTTAAAAATAAAGCAAGGTTGGTTAAATTTCATTATAAATTGAAACATCTTTCTATTTACTATTTGCAATCAACGCAGTCATAATATTTGGGTGTATAAAGAATAATATTTCATAAATATTTCGAATCTACGTGAGTAATCATCGATTTCATTCATTAAGCAATCATTGCCTACCGCAATCTAATTTACTATTGTATTACAAACGCATGTTATAACAATCACAATCACTTAATACCGTTAATCTCACCTTACTTTTGTTTAATGTGTCAACAGTTCCAAGTAAATGTAAATATTGTAAAATTATATCGTGGAATATTTACAACCTCTGCTTTCACTCTGGAGGTAAACAATATTTTTAATGACAAACAACTTTGATTATTTATCTTGTAATTGCGGTAAATTATCAACAAGTACGTGCGACACGTGACTGAAGTGAACTTGGACTTCAAAGTGCCATCATTATCAATTTATTAATGTAGTAATTAATATTTCAATCAAAACATCCAAATAATTCGGATTGACAGATCATTAATTTCTCATATATTAGATGTTATTTATTATATAAATAGTGGTAAAAATGTAGACACGAGCGACATGTGCGCGGTTTATCAGAATGTGGAAACATTCCTTGAATAATTTCGGCTTTGTTCGCGTGTTGGCAATGAATGAAAGTGCGATTCGGTTGGATTCTGTATCAATGGCCATGAGTATTTTTGATTCCAAATAATATTTTGATTAGAACGCTTCCAAACATGAAAAACACAACGATTTGCACATTTAACGCTCGCGCGCTTCTAAAATTATTATGTTTTTATCATTTCCAGACTAGTTTTATTATATTTTTAGGGTTTATCTGCTTTTATGCTACTCGATTATTATTTTTTTAATCAACAACTCACGTGCAGTGATAAAATCCTCTTGAAATATTTATTTTTAATTTTATTCATTTCACAACTGCGGCAAATTGAATCAAGCTTTTAATTCAATTAATTGGATACTTTAGATAACTGTGAGTATAAACAAATATTGAATTTAAAAAACTTACAAGTGAATTGATTGTGTAAAAAATAATAAATTGCTTTTTATTGTGCACTTGTGTGAAAATACACGCTATATAAATAATACTTGACATAAATATAAAATGTGCAGTAATCGATTAGTAGAGTGACAAGTTGAGGACTTGTTCTCACACTGTAAAAATTAGGATACGCTCGTTTAAATTTCCACGTCAGCGTAATATTTATGGTGTTATATAAAACACTATAAATTAGTGTGACGCTTGTCTTTGCTCAACAACACAACGTTTATTAATAATTTTATTTTTTGTTTATTTATTACGTTCTCGTGTGACCTATCACTTAAATTTTATTACATTCCGAATTGTCCAAAGTCACGCAAAAAGTAAATATGACTAGACATAAATCTGTGAGTGATTATTTTAAATAAAAACGAATTAAATAGTTAAAAATAGATTAAACAAGTCTTCATTTTAGTAAATTATTTTCATTTAAATAAAATTACATCATAATTTAATTTAAATTATTTTAATAAGAGGTCCAAAAATATTTATTACTTTGGAATGATGCAACTTTACCGCCCGCATGAAGTCATAAACGGAATTGATTTGAAGCCATACTAATGCATGAAAGAGTGCAGACTGTAATCGATAACAATTTTCACAACGTAAGAAACCCCGAAAGAAAACTTAAAACACATCGACTCAATAAAACATCTCCATCATGTTGTTCTTGATTAATTTATTTGAAGTGGTGAACGATGAACTCGATTGATTAATTTCAAATTATTCGTTCAGACAGTCTGGCTATCAATCAAACAAACGGAAAAAACTTTACTTTATTTAATGTAAATTTGTACGTTGTTAGATTTCTATATTTGAAGTAGTAATAGCTCGTAAAAATATATCTGGAATGTAAAATAACGCCAATCATTCGCTTGTGCAATATTCGTACTTAATAACAGTTTCGGTTTAAGGTCACATTCGCGGTGCATATAATTTATTTTACGCCAAGTGTATAATTACACCGATAAACATAAACTCTACTAGCCTGTTTGGATGGAAACATATTTTCCATCCTGTCTGGTATATGCTCGCGAACAAAATATTTTTATATTATCGTCGCGTATAGCATTTTTTTGAAATAAACAACAGTTTTTCCATTATGCAGCTAATTTTGATAAATACGCGAAAAATTCAAGTAGTAGTGGAACGAACATGCGTCAATTGGCAAAGCTCTAAAATTCCTAAAAACTCAAAAACTACATTCGCGAAAATTAAACTTATCAAAGTATACGAAGTAAATTTTATTTCCGTTGTAAAAATAACTACAACGTGCTTTACTCTAACATAACCTGAATTATTTCAAACATGTAGATGTTTGAAAGTTTAAGAGTTTTATTTTAAAACAACTTGAATTTGTGTCAATGTTACGAGCAAAAATATCATTCGTCAATTTTCTATTTTCTGTTTTAACAGGAAACACACGCTTGTTCAATTATTTATCCTAGAGTATCGATTTGTCTTACTTTTCTTTCAACTTGTTTAAAATGTACCATCGATAAAATGATGCAATAAATGCAGGTTAACTCGTGTACCCAAAAATGTAAAAACTTACCATTTATCGATTACGCTTCGTAAGGCACGGAATTAACGCAGCACGTGCGACACCAATAAATGAAAGAACTTTAACCCCTCAGAAATGAGGAGAAAAAAACACACTTTTACTTTACGAATTAAAAATTTGCGATGCTTTTAATTGCGCGTGTGTAAAAGCTTGCGGACTGACTTGCCGCTTCCACGACTGCACCTCTCCACGTGTTCGCTATAAATGAACTCGGCACGGCTTCGTCCGTACGGTAAAGCGGCACGTTTCATTACTGGCGTATGTCTGGCTGTATGTTCATCGGTCTCTACCCGGTCTAGCGAGGTTTTTGTGTGTATTGTCTTGCGTCTCCTTGGGATATTTGCATACTAGTATAGTAAGAAAATGTCCACAAGTACATTTTTGTATTGTATTTGATGTTATATAGAATTTTACAAAATGGAAGGGATTTTTAGTACCATGCGTTCACCATGTGGTCAATTTAGGTTTATTATAGCTTGTGAACTTGACTCGAGGGCTTAAAATAGAGTCAGCAGGTATAAAAATATTTTCGTTTTTGTAAAGATATATTTCTGTTTGGGCTATCTGCTGAGGAAGCGATTAAATTTTGATAGTGTGGTGCTATTAGGTATCCGGTTTTGTGTTTTGCACTTTTATGTTCGCATGACGCAATATTTCGTTTCATTGCGGAACTTAAAACACATCGACTCAATAAAACATCTCCATCATGTTGTTCTTGATTAATTTATTTGAAGTGGTGAACGATGAACTCGATTGATTAATTTCAAATTATTCGTTCAGACAGTCTGACTATCAATCAAACAAACGGAAAAAACTTTACTTTATTTAATGTAAATTTGAACGTTGTTAGATTTCAATATTTAAAGTAGTAATAGCTCGTAAAAATATATCTGGAATGTAAAATAACGCCAATCATTCGCTTGTGCAATATTCGTACTTAATAACAGTTTCGGTTTAAGGTCACATTCGCGGTGCATAATTTATTTTACGCCAAGTGTATAATTACACCGATAAACATAAACTCTACTAGCCTGTTTGGATGGAAACATATTTTCCATCCTGTCTGGTAAATGCTCGCGAACAAAATATTTTTATATTATCGTCGCGTATAGCATTTTTTTGAAATAAACAACAGTTTTTCCATTATGCAGCTAATTTTGATAAATACGCGAAAAATGTATGTAGTAGTGTGGAACATGCGTCAATTGGCAAAGCTCTAAAATTCCTAAAAACTTAAAATTCACATTCGCGAAAATTAAACTTATCAAAATATACAAAGTAAATTTTATTTCCGTTGTAAAAATAACATACAACGTGCTTTACTCTAACATAACCTGAATTATTTCAAACCTGTAGATGTTTGAAAGTTTAAGAGTTTTATTTTAAAACAACTTGAATTTGTGTCAATGTTACGAGCAAAAATATCATTCGTCAATTTTCTATTTTCTGTTTTTAACAGGAAACACACGCTTATTCAATTATTTATTCTAGACTATCGATTTGTCTTACTTTTCTTTCAACTTGTTCAAAATGTACCATCGATAAAATGATGCAATAAAGGCAGGTTAACTCGTGTACCCAAAAATGTAAAAACTTACCATTTATCGATTACGCTTCGTAAGGCACGGAATTAACGCAACACGTGCGACACCAATAAATGAAAGAACTTTAACCCCTCGGAAATGAGGCGAAAAATACACACTTTTCTATTAAGAATTAAAAATTTGCGATGCTTTTAATTGCGCGTGTAAAAGCTTGCGGACTGACTTGCCGCTTCCACGACTGCACCTCTCCACGTGTTCGCTATAAATGAACTCGGCACAGCTTGGTCGTACGGTAAGGCAGCACGTTTTATTACTGGCGTATGTCTGGCTGTATGTTCATCGGTCTCTACCCGGTCTAGCGAGGTTTTTGTGTGTATTGTCTTGCGTCTCCTTGGGATATTTGCATACTTGTATAGTAAGAAAATGTCCACAAGTACATTTTTGTATTGTATTTGATGTTATATAGAATTTTACAAAATGGAAGGGATTTTTAGTACCATGCGTTCACCATGTGGTCAATTTAGGTTTATATAGCTTGTGAACTTGACTCGAGGGCTTAAAATAGAGTCAGCAGGTATAAAAATATTTTCGTTTTTGTAAAGATATATTTCTGTTTGGGCTATCTGCTGAGGAAGCGATTAAATTTTGATAGTGTGGTGCTATTAGGTATCCGGTTTTGTGTTTTGCACTTTTATGTTCGCATGACGCAATATTTCGTTTCATTGCGGAGCCTACCATTGCACCATAGGCGCCGATGCAGCGTTGTTGAATCATCGTAATGAGCGTCGCTTTCGCTGGGGCGCTAACGGTAGCATGTGGAAACGATGTAACGACGTAAACCTATTAATAGCAGTGGATAGTATTTCATTCATCGAATCATGATTCGCCAAGGAGTACTTACAAATTGCGCTGAAATTCGGGACTTAAATCAAGCAAAACTATTAAAAGCGTGTTTAGTCACACTCATTCAACTTGATTTGTTTATTTAAGTAATTGTGTTTTAAGATTTGTTAGTGTAAATATTTAAAATTGTTTGTAAAAGTAAAAAATAATTAGCAGAGCGTGGTTTCGATCCACGGACCTCTGGGTTATGGGCCCAGCACGCTTCCACTGCGCCACTCTGCTCTTGGCAGCATGTGCTCTATACGTTATTATCTGAGTATAAGGTTAGGCACCCAAAAATCAATATTTGCCGGTTTCTAGATTTTACTTCAAACAAACCGGGTAATAACGATGACTCAACAAAATGGTATAAGTAAAAGTTTCTTTAATGAGATCGCATTGATTTATAATAATATTTTTGTTTAATCTTCTGTTGGCTTTTCTTCTTCTTTCGGTTCTTCTTCCTTAGCAGGTTTTTCCTCTTCTTTCGGTTTTTCTTCTTTAGCAGCTTGTGGTTGCGGACGTTGTTTTGCAGGGGCTGGAGCTGCGGGTTTGCCAGCTGCTTTCTTAGCGTTCTTTTTGGGTTTGGCTTCTTTCTTCCCTCCTCTGCCTTTGGAGGTTCTTCTTCAATTCCCAATTCTTTATTTCGTCTTGATTGTAACCTCGACTTCATTTCTGGGGTGACCTTAAATGCCGGAAAGTCTTTCGGCAGATCTGCGACCTTTTCATACGGTGGAAACATTTTGGTTGGTTGACCACAAGGTCTGCATAAATAAGGATCGGGGAACACTTGTTTCTGGTATTTGTATGTATTCCCAGCATCCGTGTGGAATTCTACACATTCCTTAGCAGTATCCATTTGAAATTTGGTCACTATCATTTTACCCATGCTGGAGAGTCGCAAGAAGAGGTCAACATATCCCACGGGATCATCTTCAGCGTTTTTAAGTCGGTAACGGTTTTCATACTTTTGGAAACCGTTTCCACGGATTTTCGTCATGTGTTCGACAACTGCTCGGAATATATCTTTCATGGATACTTCAGCACTACCAATTGTTTTGGGTATGGGTTTGAACATCTTCAGTATGTCTACATCTATCTGAAAACCTTTTACCTTCAGGTCTGTAATTTGGTCGGGGAATAAGGGGAACATGGTTGAGTTGCCATTCTTTAAAATACTGCAACCAGCGCAACCACCTTCTTCTACTTTTGATTTGAAAGCCCGTTCGCAGATTTTAAACGGGCCATATTCTAGAAATTTATATGAGAGACACGTTTCTGTATTACGGAAGGATAATTCGTTTAGTTCTAAAACATCTAGGAAGACTTTCTGGATCACCACCTCGATCAAAAATATCTTCTCCTTGTTTTTTATCTGCTGGAGTTTTTCTATCTTATCGCTACTCATTTTGAACTTTGTGGGTACACCAAAAATTTAATGGGGCATCTCGCGATGAATGTTTAAAATTATGAGAGATATTTTCTGACACTACAATGACATTTATTTATAGTTTATTAATTCAAAATCAAAATCGTGTACATTTCATTCATTGAAATCGTTATATTAAGTTTAAAATGAAAAAGCATGGTAAAGTTCGTCTTTTCTTGCTGGAATTCATCATTGAGGAAGTGAAATTTTTCTCTGATTACACAAAATTTTCTAATCAGTTACAAAAACATCAGCTGGTAGTAAATTTTAATTTTTTGAAAAACGTTGTACTCCCATCAAAGTCTAGCAAGATTCATCGATTTAAAAAACTCAACCAGAAACGAAACCTAGTGAATGTTCGAGGCATTCAATCGTGTTTATTTTCATTGACTGGACTATCTGATGAGATTGATTTGTCTATAACAGCTAGTTTGTATCAATCGAGCAATTCAACTCCGTTTGGGCGGACTGTTATCTCAATCGAAAGTATTTACGAGCTTGTAGAGGAGTTGTTAAACTGCGGCGAGAAAAACGCATATTCAATTTTTTCCTACGATAATTTTATTATTAAAAGTACTGAGAGTGAAAGACTAATTGGGTTTCTACGTGGATGTGTACGACTGTCAGGCTTTGCGTGACATGTAGTGTCAAATTTTTGGATCTATCATCATGTCGAAATTGGCTCCCAAAGAGGAGAAAAAAACACATCCCAAGACACATGCAGATGTGAAAAAGAAAAAAGCAAAACCCGAAGAAGATGAACGTGCCCGAATATTCCTCCTCGAGGTGATCCTCGATCGGATGCAATTGTCCTATTGTACCGAATTTATGAACCGATGTCATCGTGGTCCAGACTGTGTGTCTTTCCGTTTCCTCAAGCAAGAACCTCTGACTATTTGCCAAAACAAAGCAGTTACGCTCGAATGTCAAGAGAAAAAGACTGGAGCATCATCATTGTTTTCACTAAATCACGACGATATGAAAGCAGCTAGAAAAGAATTTATCATCGATTTTGAATTGTTTAGAGACACTCCAGATGAACGCGTAAAACTTGGCTTTGCATCTTTGCCTATAACTAATCTGATGAAATGCGTGAGCGCTATGTGTGACACCAACGAATATCGCAAAGCTATGGAACGTGAAGAATTAAAAAGCAAGCCGGCGTGCATGCCGAAACCTTCACCGGAGCTTTTTTCTGAGAGTACACGCAATACTGTGGTTTTAATGGCACCAGCACACAGTTCTTGTGAAGAAGCGGCTCTTATGAGCATTTACGTACGCTTGACCTGCTTTGGTCCTGTTATGATGACCGACTGTCAGTTGGACTTTATTGGCAAAGACGATGTACCCGAGTATGTCGAGTGTCCGATCGGATGCACTCCACGTCAGTAACAAGTTAAACTTAATATAACAAGCGATGGTTTCAAAGATTTTATTTTCTTTCACTTTTTTTTCTTGTTCTTATTTCCTTTTTTGTTGCTTTTGGCACTTTTTCCACTCTTTTTACTAGCTTTGGATTTGGAATCTGCTAGAAAACTCTCTTTGTTGGTCCGGAAAAGTCCAGCTGCTTTGTTAGCTGCGCATGTGGGTGGACAATCTTCGCATGGTCTCAGAGTTTGTGGGCAGTCGAAAATGCACTTGTTATCGATATAAACTTGTGGGCATGTTTTCTGCGGGCATTCGGCGGGACACTCACAGACTTGTGTCGTGCTCTTATTGGTTTTACATTCGCAGATTTGCTTCGCATCGTCGAGTTTAACTTTGGAGCGGTTGTATTTGTAATTGTACACACCTTTCTCTGGTTTGTAATCTATCTCAGCATTGGGGTCTTTTTTGAATTTGTTTACGATGATCTCATTGAAGCACGACATGCGGATGTAGGCGTATAAATGCCCGATTACCATACCATCAGTGTCTTTAATCTTGTAGAAATCTTTGATGTTTTTATAGTAATTGGTCTGGCCACCTTCATCAACAATCTCCAAAAGTTCTTTGAACAAGTTTATCAGGCGAATTATACAGCTTCCGATTTTGTGTTCTTTCTTGTCAGTCTTTTTGATACAATCGCAGTAGAGTATTGTTTTCTGTGCGACTTCTTTGGCTTGATCAGGTGTAAGTCCGAAAATAATAGATTTGCCGTTTTTAATACTGCCTGTGCCTGTGCAACCTTCGAGGTATCGTTTTTTAATGGGGACGAAGTCGTCTTCTGTAATACGCAATGGTCCTATATCTAGGAATTTAAACTCTACGACGGTTTTTCCTACACCGAAGCAGATGAGTTGTTTCGCATTACAGAAGTCCAAGCTGATGTCATCCACTATAAATTCTAACATATACAATTTCTGTTTTACTAGTGGAGGTGGTGGAACTGCTGGTTCTTCGTTTTCTGCATCATCAGGTTTCTTTTCTGTTTCTTCTGTTGGTGTTTCTGCTTGATCTGTCGCTTCTTCGTCCGCCATTATGTGTATATTTGAATAAGAACAGAATGGGCCTAAATTGTTACGTTACATGAATTTTGAGTAATAAAAATGACAGTTAATTTGATAAACAAAAAATGTTACAAAAATTTTCGACAACAACTGGGACATGGGGATTGGTTGGCTGACCATGTATAAGGTCTTGAACATTCAGAAACAGTTCTCATTCCACAAGTACCATAGGCGCTACTTGGGCGCATTGTCCCACAAGGTCCACATGTTCCATATAGGCTACATGGGCTACATGGTCGACAAGGACTCGATCCTCTTAGGCAAATACCACATGGATGACAAGGGTCACATACAGGTTTCCTGTCCGGTACAGTAATTCCACCGTGTTTCTGTAGCTTCCTCTTTGGTCTAAAGTAAGTTTGCTTGGTTTTGGTTTTTACAGTGCTTGCTTCAGACGTTTCGTCTTCAGAACTCTCCGTATCAGATTTTGTCTCGGCTTTCTTAGCTTTCTTCATTCCACCTTTTTTAGCTTTCTTCTCGCCACCATCTTTAGATTTCTTCTTGCCACCTTTTTTCTTACCACCTTCTCCACCTTCTTTACTCTTTCCACCCTTTTTACCCTTTCCAGTTTTCTTAGCTTTCTTACCTTTTTTCTCTTTTTTCTGTTTTCCGCTCTTCATCCCTGACGCTCCAAGGCATTTAAAGTACAATTCTTTAAGGCCACCTTTCGGACGTTTTACATTAGCGAACTGTCCCACTGGACATTTTCCATAAACTTTTTCTCTTCGCATTTCCTCATTGAATTGTTCATTTAGTAGAGCAGCTAGCTGTTCTTTACCGTAATATTTTTCTAAGTATCCGCAGGGAAAGTCTCTACAATCACATTGACCATCTCGGCATTGTCTCCCCTGAGATTCTCGGGCCCACCCTGCTGGTGTAACAAATTCTAATTCGTACGGTTTGTTGCAATCATCTTTTGGACCATATTTGGGCATGTGAAGCCTCACTAGAATTTTATCTTTTGATGGTTTTTGGCAACTACTCTCTTTTGTGGGGGTCGGGCCATTATTTCCCTCGGAGCAAATTCAGTCGTTTGTAGCGAAACTGGACATGGATTACAAGATGTAACCTCTTGCGGAAATCCAACTATACCGGGTGATGGATATGATGAATACGAGGGATAATTACGCGACATTTGGGAATAGGGGTCTTTAGATTGGTTCTGGTTTAGTGGTTGTGGGCTACCATCCCACTGTGGGGCATCCAACATTTGAAAAGCCATATCTCTCGCTCCTACTTGACTAAAGTTATTGTCTCCTTGCTTTTCCATACATGTATCAATGGATTGTCTTGTTATTGTGTTGCAAGGGTCTTCGTTTATGATTTCACCTGCACCAATCTGCCTTTTTGGCATTTTCTCTTTGTCCTTTGTGCCTTTAGCTTCTTTTACCAATGTATCCGGTAGAGGCAGACACTTAGTTTGTTTGGGAACATTTTGATCCAAACAGCTTTGTTGTTTTCGGTCTTGGAAGTCACCCATGTTCATCTCGCATTGCGTGACTATATACTTTCCGTAACAGGACATTCTTACAAAAACTGACACGGATCCCACACACTCACCACACATATAAAGTTTTACAGTTTCTTTTTGACACTTGACCCACGCTTTTTCTGTACTTCCCATTGCACTTTCCATCAACTCTTGAAACAATTCACTTATGCAAATCTCGCCACAAGCTATGTCTATAGCATTCGGCAGAACGCCAGGTGGAAATTTTTGGAATATTTTGATTTGAATTAGAAAATTGCCAAGTGCTTCGACGCCTTGCTCGGTGGTCATCGAGAACAGGCATGATTTACCGCAGCGTGTCTCACTACCGGCGCAAGAATTCTGTAGTTCATTGGCAGTAATTATGATAGGTTTGTTATCCAAGAAGTGGAACATGACGTTGGTTTCGCCATTGACTGAGTTGATTTTCTTTTGTGTTGGTGCAGTGAAGAAAATTTCATCCACGAGGAACTCGAGGAGCATTAAATTTTCCGATACAAACTTATTCATTTTGGCGATTATTCGAAACGGTTTATTATCAAAATTTTGATTTAAAAAATTGTGATAAATTTAAACGCAAAGATTTTGACATCTGACATGCAAGGTCTACTCTGAAAAAAAGACGCATTTGATACACAGATAGGTTTATTAATTGACAATTACACAATTAACACAATCACTTTTTCTTTTTACCCTTTCCTTTGCCCTTTTTGCCTTTGCCCTTTTTACCTTTTCCTTTTTTGCCCTTTTCTGCTTTTACTTCCTGAGCATCACATTGTTGTTCTGTATCGGTTTTCGGTTGCGGTGGTTTAAATTCTTTTCCCCTTGGTGTGCATAACTCAATCTCCATGTTATTCTTCTTTGAAGCGCTCTCATTTTTCTTTCCGATTCTCAGAATAAACACTTCCTTTGTTGGATCTGCCAAGGTACCCAATTTGTTATCGGATGGGTCGTTCTTAGTTGGTGAGAACACACTAATCTGATTATCTGCTTGAGTGGTGCCGCCCATTTTGAACGTAAAGGGAGTTTTATTATCGGGACAGCAATCAGGACATACGCCTCCTTTTCGTGTTGCTGCGCCGGCGGCCTGATTGGAACAAGTGCATGGTGAGGATTGCGAGACTTGATAAACGGCAGGTTTCGGCTTACCTCCCGGCTCGCAGCAGCAGGATTCGTCTTTCAGCTGGTCCACACGCGCATTGTCTTTATGCACGCGAATGATGAGCGAGTTGCCGCCCATCTCTGCTCCAAACTCTTGGTATTCGCAGTCAGGAGGCGGTGGAACCGAAGCAGCTTGGTATTTATCACTACATTCATTACATGGGGTTTCTTGTCTTATGTTGTTAGTTGGCATTTGGCGCTTGTATATTTCACATGGGCTTTCTGTAATGGTTCTTTGATTTTGGGTAATATTGGGGGCGATATTTGGGGTAATATTTGGGGTGCATGTCTCTCCATCCATACATTTTAAACTTTTCTGCACGCTATACTCAAAGCAAATGTTATCCACTAGAAACTCGAGCAGAATTAAATTATCGTTTGCGAACTTTTCCATCGTGAAAAGAGTTTATTCTAAATTATTTACGAATATTGTATACAACTGAGAATTTGAATAATTTTACATGAAAAAAAATTGCGTTGGTATCGTTTGACTGGAATTTTATGTTGTAAACATTTTGACATATTTCAGACTGAGCCTACTATTTTACAAACTTTTGAACAAATTTAGCAGGTGGTGGGGGCGGGTAGTTGTCATAATAAAACGACATGCTTCTGTGCGATATGTTTGACCAACTCTGGAAATGTAATTACGAAATTAGGAATTGATAAATGTTTAATTCTTTTTCGTTTACTTTTGAAATTCTGCTCGTCGTTTGCAAGGATCGTGTTGGGATTCTGCGAACAATTCAGGAGGTTTCTGCCAACGCGGAAAGCCGTCTTCTTGTATATTCTGTGGATTTGTATCACTAACAAGTGTACTGCTCTCAGGACAGATACAAGTGTCTACTAATTCTCCATGTAGTTGTTCTGCTTCGTCCTGTTTAATTTTCTGTAATAATCTTTGTTGTCGACGTGATTCCATACAATCTTGTTCATATTGATATGATCTTGGCAAAATAGATGCTAAAATAACAATCAATATGTGATATATATTTTAACATGATAGTTAATTATGTATTTACTTTTAGCTATAAATCTTGGATCAATCTCTCGGTTATCTTTCGTTTTTAAATGCATGTCAAACATCAATTGCGCGTTTTCGCCTGGTTTACCGATCCACCAGGCTTTTGCATTATGTGTCCATTTGTCCAAGATGGTATCTTTTACTTTTTTGACGACGTATTCATTTGTTGTATTTGTTAACGGATAAGAATAAAGTCCCAAATTGGTTTGAGTGCATCGTGGAAAGGCGTCTGGTGTGAATAATTCCGAACTTGTAGAATTAAAACTGATGCAACGTAGGCGAAAATCTTTGGGATTAGGTTCCGGGAACATAAACATGGCTATAGTTTTGAAAAAACAAACTGACTGACATTACAATGACAATGACGGAACAATTCATCATTATCAACAGTCAAGGTGATGACAATATTATTAAATTATTGATTTTTATTTTTGAATCGAACGAACTTCCTAAATTCTTGTGAAATTATGGCTACAATGGAATCGTCTCCGAAAAATGACCACCTTGTCCTTCTTGAGTTTTTTGTTGAGCGCGTGGTTTATAACGATAGAGTGGATGGCAATCTACAGGGTGGTAAAACTGTTATAGAATTTCAATTTTTGGACAATGATCCAATTACAATCGATGCAACTAAAGCGAATGCCTCTTTATGTGGCTCTCCTATAATTAACATGGGTAAATCGTGTTTGTTTTCGCTGACTCCGCCTCAGGCAGTCGAAGCCGCAATCATGTTTGATTTGTATGTAAAAGTTTACCAAAGCAGAAAATGTGGTCTCCAGCAAAAAGTTCTTGTTGGTATCGCTTTAATACCATTAACAAATATGTTCAATGAGATTTTGAAGAAATCGGGAGATAAAGAAACTGATAGTCCCCCTGGAGGAACTAAGTATATTCGGCATTCTGTGCCTTTGATGGATTTGGAAGATAATATGGTCGGCCATATTTGCGCTTCAGTACGATTATCGTGCTACGGGAAGTATATTCAAACCGATTTCCAAATGAACATGGATCACAAGTCAATAGATTATAAGGCTAATGAAGCACAATATAGGCTGAATTATCGAAAGAAAGCCGATGCATGTCCTGAAATATGTGGACCAACTACAAATATCCCCTGTGCATCTCCACATACGTGCGGACTTTCAAATCCTGCAATAGATCCCACTCCAATGCCTCTTCCACCTCCAGAGGTGAAGTTAAAACAAACAAAGTCTAAAAGTACTGACGGTTCTAAAAGTTCTAAGAAAAGCAAAGGTGGTAAGGCCAAGGCCAAAGGTAAACCGAAAGGAAAAGGAGGTAAACCGATCCACCAGGCTTTTGCATTATGTGTCCATTTGTCCAAGATGGTATCTTTTACTTTTTGACGACGTATTCATTTGTTGTATTTGTTAACGGATAAGAATAAAGTCCCAAATTGGTTTGAGTGCATCGTGGAAAGGCGTCTGGTGTGAATAATTCCGAACTTGTAGAATTAAAACTGATGCAACGTAGGCGAAAATCTTTGGGATTAGGTTCCGGGAACATAAACATGGCTATAGTTTTGAAAAAACAAATTGACTGACATTACAATGACCATGACGGAACAATTCATTATTGTCAACCGTCAAGGTGATGACAATATTATTAAATTATTGATTTTTATTTTTGAATCGAACGAAAATTTCAAAATTCTAGTAAAATTATGGCTAAAATGGAATCGTCTCCGAAAAATGACCACCTTGTCCTTCTTGAGTTCTTTGTTGAGCGCGTGGTTTACAACGATAGAGTGGATGGCAATCTACAGGGGGGTAAAACTGTTATAGAATTCCAATTTTTGGACAATGATCCAATTACGATCGATGCAACTAAAGCGAACGCCTCTTTATGTGGGTCACCTATAATTAACATGGGTAAATCGTGTTTGTTTTCGCTGACTCCGCCACAGGCAGTCGAAGCCGCAAATCTGTTTGATTTGTATGTAAAAGTTTACCAAAGCAGAAAATGTGGCCTTCAGCAAAAAGTTCTTGTTGGTATCGCTTTAATACCATTAACAAACATGTTCAATGAGATTTTGAAGAAATCGGGAGATAAAGAAACTGATAGTCCTCCTGGAGGAACTAAGTATATTCGGCATTCTGTGCCTTTGATGGATTTGGAAGATAATATGGTCGGCCATATTTGCGCTTCGGTACGATTATCGTGCTACGGGAAGTATATTCAAACCGATTTCCAAATGAACATGGATCACAAGTCAATAGATTATAAAGCTAATGAAGCACAATATAGGCTGAATTATCGAAAGAAAGCCGATGCATGTCCTGAAATATGTGGACCAACTACAAATATCTCCTGTGCATCTCCGCATACGTGCGGACTTTCAAATCCTGCAATAGATCCCACTCCAATGCCTCTTCCACCTCCAGAGGTGAAGTTAAAACAAACAAAATCTAAAAGTACTGACGGTTCTAAAAGTTCTAAGAAAAGTAAAGGTGGTAAGGCCAAGGCAAAAGGTAAACCAAAAGGGAAAGGAGGTAAAGCTGCAAAAGCAAAAGTAGAGAAAGAACCTAAAGTTGTAACAATTCCTGCACCATGCCCGAGTAAATGTTATGAGAAGGAAAAGCAGGCGCATATATCGTGGAATGATTGCCCCATTACCTGTCTGAATGCACCATCTCCAGACGATGGAGAATGTCCTGTATGTTGTCCTACAAATAGAGATTTACAACCGCAGGCTTGTCCAAATATTTGTGATAAAGAGTCAAAGCCTTTACCTTCAGAACCCTCAAAACCCCCTTGTTGCACTTTTTGAAGACACTATCAGGTCAGCCATTGGTGCCCACGGCAATTTGTCCGAAACCTGAATGTTCACTGCCTCCTACCAAATTACCAGATGGTGGTAAACAAAAAGCAACCGCATTTACTCCGGGAGCTAAAGAAAAAGGGCCTGTACCTGTTGTACCTCAAAATCAGCATGCGCCTAGTAATTGTAGCCCACGCCCAGTCACAATGATGTACGCAAGTGAAGCAAATTATAGTCCAAATCCACCTACTGATCTTTATCAAATGGACATGGGACTTGGTGGGTCGCTGTGTTGCCGTGTCCATGAAGAAAGTCCTCCTGCTGGACCAGTGCCCTGTCCTGTCAACTATATGTCTCCCCAACTTTGGATGGTAAATGTCCGTTTTCATGTGTTTCTGGTGGTAATAGCACTAGAAATCAATTAAAGTCATCTTCTCTCCAAACAAATTTTGGAGGTGGTCCGCCTTGCCAACGCCCAAAACAACCGCAAATTGTTGAAATGCGTCCGGGTTTGACAGAAGATACACCTTTTACTTTGAGCGTGGGCAATGGCGCCATCGATCAGAACCAATTATGTGTTAGTCCTCCGACTTACATTGCCAATGACGGCACCAAATACACTGAATTGTCTGACCCCAAAAAACAAGTGTTTGTAATGAGAATTGGTAAGAAATACGAAGGCACAATGGGCGGAAGAAATAATATTGACCTACACTTGACGACGCCTCCACCCCCACCGCCTGAACCTGTGGTAACATGTACGTATCAACAATACAACACTGCAGATGCAGCCCCAGGATCAAAGTATTTTCTGACAAGTGGAATAGTAGAAAAACCAAGCAAAACAACTAAGGACAAAGGCGTAGGAAAAAAGGGTAAGAAGGGAAAGAAAGGTAAAGGGGGGCAGAAAAAGAAAAAGTAGTGCAATCCTTTGTGATTATGGCCACAATAAGCCGTCGCTGACGGGTGTGAGCAGAAGGATTCATTCTACATTTACGCATTTGACAAAGTATAGAGAAATTGTAACGCATACGTTGTTTGTAATGTAATGGTTGAGTAACTATTGATAACAATTTTCACAAAGGCGCACGGAACGAAACATTTAAACATCGCGTTAAAAGAATCGAAATAATTGTATTATTATATGTATGTAATTATATGTATGTAATTATATGTATGTATTGCATGTACATTTACCTGCTTGAAGAATTGACTGTAACGCCGCGAATCAACGATTGCATACAACAATCATTTCGTGTCTAGTGCGCAGGTGCATTCAAATGAGTCGCATACCCGTGGTCCTAGTCGCTTAGCCTCGTCAGTATGTCGGCGCGCGTTCCGGTTGCAAGCCTCGTGTGTTTTTGGTTTATGTTTGTCATCCATCGAAATTGCTAATAAGAAATTATTTTCATCTTTACTTGCTTATCGGTATTTGTGTTGGAAATTTGAACTGTGTTACTTGACATCTCTAGCAAATTAATTTAGTTCACCTGTTTCTACGACATGTGCTTGCTGCAAAGTGTGGGAGACATCAATTGTTGTTCACCATCGTTCTACAGGTAGGTTTAACATTCAATTAATGTTATATATTCATTTTTCATGATTAATTATGTCTATGTAACGGTATTGTAATCTGCATTTAGAGTCGTTTGTATGCCCGCATTTGAGATGATTTCAATATTGTGAATTTAGTCAGTTCACCCAATAGAATTGTTATTGTTTATGTCTGCACGCGCTTATCAATATCGGTGCGTAAACAAGTTTTGGCGTTCAGATCTTGCACTGTTGCGTTGTGTTGTTACAGACTACATGTTTCAGTATGTGTGAATATGTGTTTCAATTTTATTATTAAATTAAATTCCATGTTTCACTTTCTTTCTCCTAAATAAAGTGAAATATGATACAATACAAAAACAAGCCGCTCTAAACTTTTACGATTTATGTGATTTTCTGGAACACGCGGTGGAAATTTGGCTGTATCTCGGGAACCGTTTGTGCGATTTCAATGAATCTTTCAAATTAAAATAGGCCAGGAGTCATTTTATATGATGTGATCTTGCGGGCTTCCGAAATCACGCTAAAAGTGCCTTAAAATCGCCTTGCAATTTTCATGATTTTAGTGATTTTCCGAAACACGCGGTGGAAATTTGGTTGTATCTCGGGAACCGTTGGTGCGATTTCAATAATTCTTTCAAATGTATATAGCGTGAGAGTTATTTTATATGATGCGACCTTGCCGTTCCACGAAATCACGTCAGAAGTGCCTTGAAATCGATCTGCAATTTTCACGATTTTGGTGATTTTCTGAAACACTTGGTGGAAATTTGGCTGTATCTCGGGAACCGAACGTGCGATTTCAATGATTCTTTTATATTTATATGGGGCGAGAGTCATTTTTTATGATGCGACTTTGTCGCCCCAAGTAATCACGCTAAAAGGGCCTTAAAATTGCTCTGCAATTTTCACGACTTTTGTAATTTTCTGAAACACACGGAGGAAATTTGGCTGTATCTTGAGAACCATTCGTACGACCTTGCCGCGTCCTTATTGCTGCGCGTTGTTGACGAGTAGTTCGTGTC